AAATCGCTGTAAAGGTAAAGATCTGTCACAACTCGGATTTCTCACCCTAAGAAGTTGTGATGTCGCCTACTCATGAAAGCTAGGCAAGCCAAGTTTTACAGATTTTTATTACCCTTTTTCCTTAACCTTTTAACATTTACGAATTAACATGTGATCAACAGCGGAATAATCATAATAAACAGAAATACGGAAGACGAAGTCTAATAGTTTAACCAAATGCTAACACGAAAATTCAAAATACAACTCTACCCAGAATTGGTGTCACAATGTCATGGATGGTCTATGAATACTACATATAGTGGTCTTAATGGGAAATACAAATCTGTCTCTGAAATTCATAAAAACAGAATGGAAAGATAGAAGGGGACGCCAAGGCCTGCGGACGTCTGCAGGACTACCTCGGGTCTCCGATGGACTGAAGGCAGCAACCTCCCTATAGTCCAAATGCTCCAGAACCGGGATTTGCACACAGTGCAGAGTATAGTATCAACACAATCGACCCCATGTGCTGGTAAGTGTCGAGCCTAACCTCGGCGAAGTAGTGACGAGGTTAGGACAAGACTACCAATTAAACTTGTGCAGTTAAATCATATATGACAAGTAATAATAACAGAAACTAGCAGTTAAAGATGGGAAGTGAAACATGATGCGGGGAATATCAAGTACAAACAAAATTTCAGTAAAGAAGCATAAAGAACACCATAATTCAACTATAAGCAGGAATAAGGAGAACAATAACAAGTGCACGACATCACCCTTCGTGCTTTTACTCTCGTTCTCACCATAAGAATCAATAGATTCGGCACGACATCACCCTTCGTGCTTTTACCTCACATAATCATGGCTCAACATTATCCTTCGTGCTTTATCACTCATATCATGGCACGGCATCAACCTTCATGCTTTTACATTCACAATATTGGCACGACATCACCCTTCGTGCATTAACACCCACTCACAAATATCAGGCACGACATCACCCTTCGTGCTTTCCACTCATTCATACCCAAGCAACAATCACAAGCAATTCGGGCAACAGAATCAATAAAAAAATCACAATGGAATCCCGGCAAGGGAATAATGATATAACAATAATATTCCGGGAAGGGAAACAATATCATAAGCAATACATCCCGGCAAGGGAAACAATATCATAGGCAATAACATCTCGGCAAGGGCAACAATATCATAAACCTCTCCTCATTTCCACAATCACTTCACAACATAAATTTCAACTTGAGCCAATGCTCTACAATGTTCAATTACCAAGAATACTTCCATAAGCCTTGTTCCATATTGAAAATTATCATATTAAGCACGGACAATACATAACGGAGTCACAATAATCATAGTATAAGACTCACGGGCATGCTTGACACCAACGTATAGATACTCGTCACCACACCTATACGTCGTACTCAACAATTAACACATAGCAAATAAGACCACAACTCCTATTCCCTCAAGCTAATGTTAGACCAAACACTTACCTTAATGCAACAAACACAATCAAGCCTTAACTACCGCTTTACCTCTTGATTCCACCACCAACCCGCTTGTATCTAGTCACAATTTACTTAATAACATTAATAAATGCTAAATAAACCAATTTTAATGCATGAAAATAGATTTTCTAATGATTTCCCCAAAAGGTCAAAAATCGACCCCGGACCCGCATGGTCAAAACCCGAGGTTCGAACCAAAACCCGATCACCCATTCCCCCACGAACTCAAATATATAATTTATTTTGAAATCGGACCTCAAATCGAGATCTAAATCCCCAAAATTTGAAAATCCTAAGTTCTACCCAAAATCACCTAATTTACTCTTGATTTTGAAATGAAATCATTTAAAAAGATGGATTAAATTGAAAGAAATAAGTTAAAAATGACTTACTAATGATTTGGAAGAGTTGGTGCCTTTGAAAAATCGCCCAAAAATATTTTAGGGTTTGAAAAGTTGTAAAATAAATGAAATCCCGTCTGAAATTCCACTTAACAGGCCTCTAATGTCGCAATTGCGAGCAGGGGTTCGCAATCAGGGGTTCGCAATTGCGAACCCTAGGAGTTTCTACTATCCTCGCAATTGCGAAGAAATAGTCACATTTGCGACCCTGTCCCCTTTCGCATTTGCGACCAAAATGTCGCATTTGCGATTATGGCTTGCCCAGGCTTAATTCGCATTTGCGACGCCTGGGTCGCATTTCCCAAGCCCGAGAACTTCGCATTTGCGAAACCTGATCTCGCAATTGTGAGATCAGAGGCCTGGGCAAACATACCAGATATCAACAATTTTTCCTAAGTCCAATTTCACTCTGTGGCTTATCCAAAACTCACTCGAGCTCTCGGGGCTCCAAACCAAACATGCACGCAAGTCCAAAAATATCATACGGACTTGCTCGTGCGATCAAATCATCAAAATAACATCAACAACCATGAATTAAACCTCAAATTCATAAAATTACTCAAGAACATCAAAATTTTTATTTTCTCAACTATACGTCCGATTTATATCAAATCAATTCCGATTTTTACCAAATTTCACAGATTCAACTTAATTATTATTTTAAACTTGTGCCGGGCTTCGGAACCAAGATACGGGCCCGATATCATCAACAATTTCATCAATTCACTTCTAAAAACCTTTATACTTTCCAGCAAATAATTTTCTTTAAAAATTCTTTTCTAGGGCTAGGGACCTCGGAATTCGATTCCGGACATACTTTCAAGTCCCATATTTTACTACGGACCCTACGAGACCATCGGATCACGGGTCCGAGTCAATTTACCAAGGATGTTGACCAAAGTCAATTTTAATTAATTTTAAAGACTAATTTCCTTATTTTATTTAGATTTCACATAAAAAATTTCCGGAAATGCGTCCGGATTGGGCACGCAAATTGAGGTGAGACAAAAAGAGGATTTTAAGGGCTCGGAACACAGAATTTACTTTCAAACAAGTGATGACGCAAATAGTTTTTGCTGTAATGATTAGTTTGCTACCTATCACCGCCAATGTAAGTTTACCAAAAAGATAGGCAACATGCGTTGAATTTAATTTGTCGTAGTTTCCTTCTTTTATTTCTGCATAAGTGTATTTTAAAGGGTTATTTGGTGTATTTATCATTAATGAGCCTCACGGGGATCAAATTAAGAATCCAATATCCAGAGTGAATTTAGCATCGGTTCTTTATTCTAAAAAAATAAATAAAAAATTCACAGTTTTAAAAGCTACATAAAATGTTACTATAAAATACAAAATTTCATAATTAAAAAATAAAAAGTATATTTAAAATCAAAGTTAAATTAAATTGTCTGACTCTCTAATTAGTGTGCAATGTCGTATAAACAGGATTGGGGGAGTATATATAAGATTGTTTTAGCACGATTTTTTTTATTATTGGCAATGAAAAGTACTAAGAACTTACAACTAGCCGGCCAATGTGCAATCCGGCTGTTTTAATACTCCCTCGTTCACTTTTACTTGACACGTTTTGACTTTTTATATTTCTTAAGAAATAATAAATGAAGTGCATAATTTACCATGATATTCATATTAATTGATACATACTCCTCTGTTCACTTTTACTTGACACGTTTTGACTTTTCACGCCCCTCAAGAAATAATAAATGAAGTGCATAATTTACGATGATACCCATATTAATTGATGCATATTTTATTGGATTTGAGAAAATGATTTGAAATGAGTAATAAATACTGTGAATATAATAAGAAAAAAAATAAATACTGTGAATATAATAAGAAAAAAAAATTTGTCTTCTCTTGATATACGTAAAGTGACAAGTAAAAATGAAAATCTATTTTTAATATACTTGTCAAGTACAAGTGAACGGAGATAAAAATTGCACGGGGCGCCCTATTTGGTCGCCCCATTTAACCTATACTCATTTTTTAAAAAGTTTTAACTTATACCCATTTTTAAACAACTTCAGCCCCCTTTCTCCTCCTCAAAATTTTATCTTTTCTTTTTTCAGAAGTAAAGTTCATCCCTATTTGCTTCTTCTTATTTCTCCTTTCAATCATTTTTTCCTTTTCGCCGACACCCTCAGCTGTAAAGGTTCTATCTTGGTTTTACAACTTGAATCTTATGCACAATTTTGATGTAAAAATGGGACAGAGAAATTAATTATTAATTTTATATTGTTGTTTGTGAATTGGGTATGGCGGAAATTGGATATTTCAGTTGTCGATTGGATTGGTAATGTGTTGATGTTTCTTTGTTCCTGTTAATGTTGTTTTAAGTTACTTCGTGTGGGTACAACATGCCCCCTAGAGCTCTAGAGCTGAAGTTCGCTAGTTACAAACAAAAGTTTCAGCTCTAGAGCTTAAGTTCGTTAGTTACAAAACAAAAACTTCAGCTACTATGCTTAAGTTCAGCAATTACAAACAAAAATTTCAGCACAGTTGCTACTTCAGTCCCGCCTACTAGAATGCTGGAGTTTTGCGTGATTGCCTTTGATACTTCAGCCACATATGCTTAAGTTACGTGAAAAGTGGGTACGCTTGTGCACAAATTAAAATGTGACCCAAAAAGCGGGTATAAATGTAACCGTCCATAAACCAATTTTGAGCACAGCTGTAGGGCCTAGCGTGTTATGTCTGTCAAGTGGTTAGTGTAAGTTGAATATTTACTATTCAGAAGAATCTCCTAGCATGAACATGGATGTAGCCCGATTCTTTGACCAATAACAAAGACAAAATCATAGTCGCTAGCCTTTTTTGGTAACAACCAACATAAATATAGACAATATTGATTACCAATTAAAGGTGGGGAGATTTACTCTCATTATTCTTCCAAATTTTGACCATTACGCTAAAATCTCGTTGCCCTTAAAAATAGCAAATTATCGACTCTATTATTCATTTAGTTTTTACCCAACTCCAAGCGCCAAGTATTCCTTTTTAACCCTCTTGGTACCATCCGCCGTTTGAAATAATTAAATTAACTGCTGACAACGACTGCAGAAAGATTTGCATGCAATGCGTGAGATGTACATTGTTTTTATGGTCCAAAATTAGTCTCCCATGATTTGTCTATAATGCGTTTTCTTGGCCCTCAAATTTCTCATTATTGTCATTTACCACCCAGCAGTTCAGGCGAATTTTCCGCCATGACGGAGAGCAGTTCTTCCTCCATAGCCCCTTTGCTTTTGAGAAACATATTAACATCTGCTTTTATCTTCGCTGATAAACCCTTCTTCCTCTTAGCAGAAAAATACAAACTTCTCGAATTTATACGTTGGTTCCTTATTCAATCTTTTCTCTTCTTTCTTAAACTTTTTCCATCTGGAGAATATGACAACAGCTACCCTTTGAAGCCTCAAAAGGGGGAGATTTATTCTCCGGCAGCCGTGGGAGGCGGCGGTGGAGAGTCGGGGATATCGAGAGCGTTGACGCAAGTGTTGTCAATTGTGAATGATATTCCGGTGAGTTCAAGGAAATATGAGGTCGTGAGATCACTGGCCGAGAGGCTAATTGATGAGAATCTGTTGGAGGGTAACGAAGCATTAAGGGAAGTGAATTGCGCCGCCTTGTCGGCGGCTTTTACGAGGACACTTGGTCAGCTTGAATCCGCCGTGGCGGCGGAAGAAGGCGGAATTGCGTCCGGTGGGGATGGTGGCGATTACATCGGTAAGTTGGGCCGCGGATTGAGGGCGATTAGGTATTATGGTGACGTTGTGTGGCAGCGGCGTAGGGCGAGGAACCAGCTGAGACAATTCGGATGCTCGGCTGAGAAGTTGGCGGCGGAGTTGCTGTGGTTGGCTCAGAAGATGGCAGCTTGTGGTTGTGTTGATGAAGCTGTTTATATGTGGGCTTCGGCTTCACAGTTGGCTTGGCTTTCTCTTTCTGCTGAGGCGCGGCTTCAGGGGTCTCTTGTTAAACTTTCAGGTATATTTTCTATGGAATATTCTTTGATCATTTTCTAATTTTCGCAATTTTTTTACTACACATGTTTGGAAAAAATATGTATAGAACTCATCTTATGCAATCTTTTAGCGATCCATCAAAACAATACAACACAATATAATACTATATTTTACGAAACATATGTAAAAACAATCCAAAGCCGAATGCTTTTACTACAGTAGGATATTTAGATTGTAGTAGCAACTTAATAAGCCCTGGTCTAGCCCTTCCGGACCCGTGCATAGCGGGAACTTAGTGCACCGAGCTCTCTTTTTTTTAGCAACTTCATAAGCCTGAATGCTTTCCTATGCATGAGATTAAGTGTTGGTTCTACCAGTTAACTTTTTCAGTGCAGTTGGATCCAATACACTGCAATAATTCGTTCCATTCCCAACCTTAAGCGGCTACACTATTAATCTTTCATTACACAGAGAAAACTTTTATTACCTATTCTCAGAGTTTTATTGTGTACTACATCTCATCTTGAATTGCTATTCTATTTGATATTTGGTTGGCATAAAATAATCACCATCTCTCTTCTTTAATTGCATTTTGGGATAGTAAAAGTGCCATGTTCTGAATTTCTCTTTATGGTCTTGTGCTCCTTTCTAGCTTTCTTATTCAAGAAAGCCAGAGAAATAGGAAAAGATGCAGAGGATGAAGAAAGTACGAAAGAACATCTAAGGCGGACAAACATGAACATGTTGATGTCATGGCTGCCATTGCTATGCCGAGCAAGCAATGGCACAGACACTCCAGTCTTGAGCATTAGCGAAAGGGCTGAGCTTGAAAGAGTATTGGAGCAGATCATTGGAACATTGGAACAAGAAGAGGAGCAAGAAAAGGTCTTGTCCCTCTGGCTTCACCATTTTACCTATTGCCCTTCTTCTGACTGGCCAAACCTCCATGATTGCTACACCCGCTGGTGCACAGCTTCTCGTAAGCTCTTGCTTCACTGAATTTTCTAAAAAGAACTTTCAACTTGAAAATGGAGTCCCATCTTTCTGCCAAGGAAGGGGTCTCTAGGGTGGCGCAAAATGTGAAGTGGAGGAAAAGATTATATTGCTGTGTTTATTCCTCTATCTGGTCCTTTGGTTTCTGCGTTGTACCTATCGCTCTTAGCAGAAAAATGCCTATGAAGGCCCAAAGTAACATTTGTATCAGTTAGCTATGTTTTGTGATTATTTTAGTTTTTCTAGTGGTTTAATTTACAAGTCGAAAGCACACTTACATGCATATGCACGTTTGGCTGTGTTTATATAGTGCTTGAATTCACAGCAAATTGAGCAGAGTAGTTTACTTTTAATTTCAGGCCTCATTTTCTTTCATGTAGATTATATTTGACCTCTCTTTTGGTTTTCGAAGATTTCAATGTTGATCTTTTTCGAGTTCACTTTGTATCGTAAAATATCGATATAGAAACTTTCATCATAATTCTTTCAATAAAATTGATAGGATAATTACTATTGTCTGTGATCACACACAATAGTAATTAGCAGAAACATTAGCAGCAGAAACAACATAAGTCAAGACTTTGTGTTAGTTCATATATCATTTATCTAAGTGTCAAGTGCCCTTTAACTGTTATTTTCTTAGTTCTTATACAGAAATGTGACATTTGATTTCACTATTTATCCCTTTTATGTACATCGTCATTCATCAACATTAGAATCCTGCCTGGTTTAATCCAATATGGATCTTACTGCAATATCTTCCATTGGAGATTTTGACAGATAATGCTCATTTCTGATCTATCAGTTTAAGTGTGAAGTATCCTATCAAATTTATCTGATTATACAGAAATGCGACTTTAAGCTATCCATTTTAAGTACGTCAACAATAGAATCAGGATTATGTGATCCAGTAAGGATCATTTTGAACATTATTTATAGGAGCTTTTGACAGAATCTTGTGATATGGTTGTAGTATTGATATACATGGAATTAGAAAACAAATCGATATATGAAGTCTGACGAATGTGACAACATGTACAAGTAGACAATCTATTCTGAGCAAATTACCATCTGGAAGTATTGTCAGTGTTATTAAAGTTTATAGGAAAATATATGACAATGATTCACTTGAAAACATCATTATAAGAGTGAATCTACACGCAACTGAAGCTAAGTAACACATTACTTAACCAAATATAGTTAAAAGAAGTTCTGAGATTTATTATAACAAGATTATGCCAGGGAAGTTGTAGTCGGACTGGTACTTTATGTTCCTATAAAGCCACCATCTTCGAGTGAATATCAAACTGCTCAGATGCGGATAGTTGAGGCTCCTGGCAAGACCAATAAAATGCATGAGACGATGATGATGCAATGCTGCACTGATTTTTTTTTTGACAATATCATAAAAGCGTACCTGAGTTTCATTTGCACCATTCATGCCTACTCCTTTCTGTGCTTCATGAATCTTATTGTGCATACTCATAAGTAAGCGTCCATAAGTCAATTTAGTCTCTTGCTCCAATGTTTTGATGAAACTATATGTCAGGGCACCTGTCGGAAATCCTGTGAAAGCCTGCAGAAATCCAAGGTGCGGTAATTTGATGAGTGAAGGTGTTAGAAGTGAACATATCTATAATCTCTCGAAATCTGTGGTTTAGCACATAGCGGAACACAATAGAAATAAAAGACCTATACAGGCAACACAAACTAGTTATGATAACGGCTTAATCGTGTTAGTATACTTACATTAGTTTGGTGTTTACCAGGAGTCTTTTTAATTTGTTTAGAGATTTTAGTGTCAATATAAGAGTAGGTGTGCAATTTGTATATACGGATACTAACCGTTGTATCTCCAGAATTTTGATGATCATCACAGGCACTGATAGAGATTGCTGTTCCTCCTCTGGTGCCTTTGTATGTGCTGATACGATGGTCTTCCCACATAAAGTATCCCGCCCTGCTTGAAAACATTTTGACATAGTACTTTTACGATAACTTAGGATAAAGTTTCATTGCATCAAACATGAAAAAAGAAGTTCATGTAACCTGTTTATTCTGCACATAAATGGCAAATCAAGGAAGGTTCCGCTGAAGCAAGTATCAATTATGCCATGAAGTGTGGCTCCACGGGGTAAAGGCCTAACAATGGTATGATTAATCTCATCATCTAGTATTCTTCCTTCAGTCTCAAAATCGACAGGGCATAGTGATTCATCATGCCCATCAACCTCATCACCATCACGGTCACGTACTCGTGTACCATGGCCAGAGTAGTGGAACACCAGTGAATCTCCTGGCTGACAACCATGAACAAGCCAACGTAGAGCTGATCTGATATTGCCCTTGGTTGGGATTTTGCATGGATCTTTCTCATCCTCTGTAAATTTGATGTATTATATGTCAGTAACCTGATAAAGAAAGAATGAAGAATATAGGAAACAATATCTGGGAGCGGAGGGAGTAGTAACATAAACATTTATTTTCTAGACGTGAATCAGGTGAAAAGGAGCCTTGGAGCAACGGTAAAGTTGTCTCCGTATGACTTATAGGTCACGGGTTCGAGCCGTGAAAGCAACCAATATTAGGTTAGATTGTCTATATCACACTTCTTGGGGGTACGGCCCTTCCTTGGACCCTGCATGAACGCGAGATCCTTTGTGCACCAGGCTGCCCCTTTTGAACTGTAGGAGATACCTGTAAGGACAAGTACAGATGCATTGGGAAAACCCAACTTCTGAACCAGAAGATATCTCATGGATAAAACGTCGTTAATGCTTCCTTTCAGACTCTTGGAATGCCCCCGGTAGGTAATCCCACAGAGTACTGCTCGTTTTCGTCCATGCACTGCTGGAGGTCGCATACTAATCTGTGGTGACATGTTGAACTGTTGAGGCCGAGAATTATTGGCATTTGGATTCATCCTTCCTGGCCTAGCTGAAAACCCTGTGTTTACTGCGGTCATAACATTGTTAATAACCCCATTGGCAAAGCCGTTGTTATTTCTTGGAGGTTGGAGTTGTGTAACAGATTGGCACCTTGGGCAGGAAATGGTTTGTGCTCCAATGGGAGCTGACATTTTCATGCTGCAGTACTTGCATTGGCATCTCCTGCTGTCCATTATGAAAGAGCAGGGTGTCAAGAGATACGAAAGTGGTTTTTCCTTGTTCTTTAATACTATTGAGTGGATTGATCAAGATATATATATATATATATAGGAGGCATATAAATTTGGCGTAGTTTCACGGCATCCAAAAACTAATTTTCTGTAATGAAAAAGTAACTCAATTATGCTTATATGTTACAGAAAATAAAAATGTCCGAAATTAATGCTAAATTTAGTCTCGAAAGACACACTAGGCTGCTGTATTTACAAAATAGCCATGTTAAGTATAACTATTTCAGCAACTCACTATATGTAATATTCACTTGATATTATTTAAAAAATGAAAAAGAAACTTATTTTCTAACACAACCTAATATTCGATTCTTTTATTTTTTTTAAAGTGGTGTCATATGAAAAAGTGGGCAGCCTACTTGTGTTTCCCTTATTTTTTGGCTTTTGTTTTATAATTATTTTTGTGATGTATATAGACATAATTGAGTTACTTTTTCATTTCAAATATTAGTTTATGACTTAAATGCAATAAAATGAAAGTTGGATGACTATCATGAAACTTAACCTATAATAAGAGCCTGTTTGGCCAGGCTTTTGGGAGGCCAAAAGTACTTTTTTCCTCCAAAAAAATATTTTTTAAAAATTTAAGCTGTTTGACAAATACAGAGAAGTACTTTTGGCCAGCAGCAGAAGCAATTTTTCCGCTTTTGGGAAGAAGCAGAAAATTCTAGCTTCTTCCAAGAAGCACAAGTGGAAAATTAATTTATTCAAGACAAAACTACCCTCACCATAAATTTATATTTTCAAAATTATCCCTTACTAATTTAAGTTTTTTCTTTTCATTTTTGTTTCTAGTTTTTATCATTTTTTTAAAATTAAAGATATCATATACATGAATCATATTGTAACTTTCTAAATTCTTTATTGGCTTTTCTTGTTTTTGAATTTTTTTTGGTGTAATGTCTTGTAACTTTCCAAATTATCTTCTTATTTTTTCACACTAAAGCAAATTATCTACATCTTTATTTGGATTATCAATTCTCTTCCTACAAATAATCATTTATAATTTCTTTTGTTATATGTTATTAGTTCCCGAATCTTTAAAACAATTATCAAATCTAATTTGTGAAAATTACCATACAAATAGGTAATAAATTCACAATTGCATCATATAATCTATTTATATATTATTAAAAGAAGAATAAAACGCAACACACATTAAGCCAAGTGGCAGCCTGACAATAGGCCACTTGGCAATTTAGGACAAAGTTAGTAAGGTTAGGTAATACTAATTAGTTTTTTTCTTAATTTAAATTTTTAAAAAAAATTAAATTATACATTATGTGTTGTTAATAATTAGTTACTCTTTTTGATTTGAATTTAAACATACTTAAACTATTTTTTTTTTTACAAAAAACTTTATTTTTATATATTTAAAATTATTTCTATTTTACGCTCAATGCCATCTTTCAAATTTGACACTCAGAATCATCTAATTACAATTATCATGGCTATACATAATTTTATCCGACGACATTCTTTTACGGATAAGGAATTCAATTATTATACTAATGGAAGACATTACTGCAGAGATTGAGGACGGAGTTGGGCCTTCCGATATTCCTTTAGAAATACAAGGGAAGTCTTCTACTAATATGGAGGCGTTGTGTGATAGACGTAGAGATGAAATTATTGAGAAATATTATTATGTGTGTGTGACTTTACTTATTATTTCATACTAGATTATCAATATATAGTAATTTATGGAATAGACTTCTAATTCATACTAAATGGTGTATTTTGATTATTCAAATCATCATGTAACAATAATTAATTATACTAGATAATAATATATGCTTTGGTATAACTATATATGTAAAATTGATTTAAATCTTTAATATGTTTGTTTACTTTATGTTTTATAATTTAATTAAATAAAATAAAAAATAATAAAAGTATCTTATTATAATATTTGAGTTTATTTTTCTCTTTAAAAGAATTATAAAACATTGGTACTATTCTTTTTGGTAATTTGACACTCAAAAATACTTTTAAAAAGATTGGCCAAATATAATTTATTTATCAAATATTGTAAAAAGTACTTCTTAATTGAATTAGCCAAACACAAACTATTTTTTTCCAAAAGTACTTTTGAAAAAATATTTCCCGAAAAAAGTACAATTTCAAAATAAGCATATTTTGGCGGCTTGGCCAAACGCACTCTAATTAAGCACTTCCAAGAGAACTAATCTACGACTTTACTCATTAGTTTATCTCCTTATTATTCTTTGTATAAAGCTTTTTATTCTCTTCCAGATGTGGTGATGGAGAAACAAGAATCAATCTATTTTGCGTCTTTCGGCATAGTAGATTCTATCTTTTATATTCTGAAAGGTATGATCCTTTATCATGATTGAGTTTTATATTCTTTCAGAACCTTGAGATTTGAGAAAAAAATCTACCCTAAACAAGACTCTTTATAACTACATTTTGGATGCTATTATTGTTATTGTTTTGAGAATCAGAAATCCTCAATTTATAAAAGTGTAAGACTTCTTTTCAAAAAAAGGATAAGGCATATGAAGGATATTTAATCCTCTTTTTCCCTTTGTTCAAGAAAGAGAGTCCTACTAGAATAGAAATTCAGAACAAAATAAAGTTTCTATGACTTTTAGTACCTTTTATGTAATTTCTAGATACGTAAATTTTATTTCAAAAACTTAAAGAATCTACAGCCCAATTCATATAGAAAATTAGTCAATTTGGCCCCTTGTACTCCAAAAAGATTCAAACAAATTGAAATGGAGGGAGTATACCTCAACCGTGTTGTATCTTTCTTTTTAGGATATTGGAACAACATAGAATGCCAGCTTGCTGGTTGCATGTAAAGAATGGAATATATGCTAATTTTTCGTGGGATGGGCATTAATTCACTACTTCTGTAGTCAAAGAATCATCTTAGTGTTATCACGAAGAATTAATATTTTCGAGAATCCGAATTTCGCTAGACAATTTATGTATATCACGTTGCCTGAGGAATTGTTACATTAAGAGAAAATAATCTTCTTTAATGATCTTGTTTCGTCCTTGGTTGTAGAAAATTAATATTGGCAGCCACTAAGAAAATGAATATGTGGTCTACGTCTTCGTTAATCTGGATTGATTAATGTGCACTAGTTTGAGCATCATCTAGTCCTTCTAGATGTATCGTTCTCTCTTCATGTGATCTTGCGATATTTAACAAAACAAAAGTTTGTCTTGATGTCCAAATGCTATAGTCGATAGATTTCTTTTCCCCTGTCTGCTCCGGTTTCTTTATTTTGGCCTTGCAGGAGGGGTTAGCTGGATTAATTGGAACTTAAAACTGGATTTTATCATCTTATCAAAGTGCTTCTCGGCCAATGGCCTCCACTAGATTATACAGAGTAATATTTATGGATTACTAGCATAAGAGATTGAGGAGCTCATGGATGGCAAACATATTTTTGAATACTAGTTGCATGAACTTGTCAAATGAATTCTTTCTGCATAGTATGCTTGGTTGATCAATCATGTAACTTTGAGATTTCAACTTAGGTTTTCGTCTTATGAATAAGCACAATTCGACCTTGTGAATGAGAAGTTCTTTTAATTGTCTATGTGTAGTTGATCTCCTTTACATGCTGCTAGAGCTATCCCAACTATCTGATATATAGTCAGTATGAATTTGAATGCAGCCTTAAGGGACGCAAATCTGCATTTCACTTTTAATGAGTCGCAATACATTTGGACACTTTTGTGAGTTTAACTAGTTTTCGTTGCAGAATCTTTACCAATTCAAAATAATAATTGCACCATCCAAGGCCAAAAATGTTTTTGATATAGATGAGACTCATCTGCAAGAGGAATGCCAATTGCATAAAAGATTCGTAAGCTAACCAAACTAGGAAGAGTGCAGGAGAATCTATTTTTATTGACTTTAAGAGAGGAAGAAATTTGTGTTTCATTTAAAAGAGGAGGGGATAAAGAATAACGGAGGACCTCAGTGCCAGGCGGGCTCAGGGAAAGGCGAATATAGACAGTCTTACTTCCTCATGAGAGAAGCTGGTTTCAAGATTCAAAATGACTTCTAATCCATAACCTATGATGTACGTAGATTCTTTTGCTGCTCTTATCATTTTATCGCAAACTTATTCTCATTTATCTAAGAATCTGCTTTCTGTTAAAAGCTTGTGCTTGAGATGTCTCTTGATATTATCTGAAAGGCTGCAAAAAATTGTGTGCTGACTGCCATTTAATACGCTTGAGAGTCAGACTTGATCAAACTTGGCTTACAGGTCTACTGCCAAAAGCTCACTTTGACAGGGGCCAGTAAATAACAAGACAATAACACATCTTAGGGGCTTTATTTTAATATTATTAAAGTTTATAGGAAAATATATGACAATGATTCACTTCCAAACATTAGTATAAGAGTGAATCTATACGCAACTGAAGCCTTAGTCACACAGTACTTAACCAAATATGGTAAAAGAAGTTCTGAGATTTATTATAACAAGATTATGCCAGGGAAGTTGTACTCTTGCTGGAGTTGGATATTTTAAGTTCCTACAAAGCCACCATCTTCGAGTGAATATCAAACTGCTCAGACGCGGATAATTGAGGCTCCTGGGCAAGACCAATAAAATGCATTAGACGATGGTGATGCAATGCTGCACTGACTTTTTTTTGACAATATCATAAAAGCGTACCTGAGTTTCATTTGCACCATTCATGCCTACTCCTTTCTGTGCTTCATGAATCTTATTGTGCATACTCATAAGTAAGCGTCCGTAAGTCAATTTGGTCTCTTGCTCCAATGTTTTGATGAAACTATATGTCAGGGCACCTGTCGGAAAGCCTGTGAAAGCCTGCAGAAATCCAAGGTGCGACAGTTTGATGATTGAAGGTGTTAGAGGTGAACATATCTATAATCTCTCGAAATAATTGTGTTTTAGTATATAGCAGAACACAATAGAAATAAAAGACCTATACAGGCAATTCAAACTAGTTATGATAACGGCTCAATCGTGTTAGTATACTTACATTAGTTGTTTAGCAGGAGTCTCTTTAATTTGCTTAGAGCATTTAGTGTTAACAGAGGCAGAGCCAGGATTTGAACCTTATGCGTTGGGGATTATATTCCTTTTAAGTTACTAGGTTCTAAATTAATAATTTGTACATATTTAATGTATTTCTTAGGACAAATACATGGTTTGAAAAAAGCTACTAGGTTCGGTAAGTGTGCTATTTGTATATACGAATACTAACTGTTGTATCTCCAGAATTTTGATGATCATCACAGGCACTGATAGAGATTGCTGTTCCTCCTCTAGTACCTTTGTATGTGCTGATACGATGGTCTTCCCACATGAAGTGTCCCGCCCTGCTTGAAAACATTTAGACATAGTACTTTTACGATAACTCAATATAAAGTTTCGTTGCATAAAGCATTAAAAGGGGAATTCAATAACCTGTTTATTCTGCACATGAACGGCAAATCCAGGAAAGTTCCACTGAAGCAAGTATCAATTATGCCATGAAGTGTGGCTCCACAGGGTAAAGGCCTAACAATGGTATTATTAATCTCATCATCTAGTATTCTTCCTTCAGTCTCAAAATCAACAGGGCATAGTGATTCATCATTCCCATCAACCTCATCGCCATCACGGTCTCTTACTCGTGTGCCATGGCCAGAGTAGTGGAACACTAGTGAATCTCCTGGCTGACAACCATGAACAAGCCAACGTAGGGCTGATCTGATATTGCCCTTGGTTGGGATTTTGTATGGATCTTTCTCATCCTCTGCAACATTTTATGTATTATATGTTAGAAATCTGATCATATCTGATAAAGAAAGAATGAAGAATATAGGAAACAATATCATGGGAGTGGAGGGAGTAGTAACATAAGCATTTATGTTCTAGACATGAACTGTAGCAGATGAAGAGGAGCCTTGGAACAACGGTAAAGTTGTCTCCGTATGATTAATAGGTCACGGGTTCGAGCCGTGGAAGCAACCACTAATGCTTGCATTAGGTTAGGCTGTCTACATCACACCCTTGGAGGTGCGGCCTTTCCCTTGACCCTGCGTGAATGCATGATGCTTTGTGCACCGAGTTGTCCCTTTTGAACTGTAGGAGATACCTGTAAGGACAAGTACAGATGCATTGGGGAAACCCAACTTCTGAACCAGAAGATATCTCATGGATAAAACGTCGTTAATGCTTCCTTTCAGACTCTTGGAATGCCCACGGTAGGTTATTCCACAGAGTACCGCTCGTTTTCGTCCATGAACCGCTGGAGGTTGCATAGTAATCTGTGGTGACATGTTGAACAGTTGAGGCTGACAATTATTGGCATTTGTTGGATTCATCCTTCCCAGCCTTGCTGGAAACCCTGTGTTAACTACTGCACCCATAATATTGTTAATAACCCCAGCGGCAAAGCCGTTGTTGTTTCTTGGAGGTTGGAGTTGTGTAACAGATTGGCACCTTGGGCAGGAAATGGTTTGTGCTCCAATGGGAGCTGACATTTTCGTGCCGCACCACTTGCATTTACATCTCCTGCTGTCCATTATGAAAGAGCAGGCTGTCAAGAGATATGAAAGTGGTTTGTTCCTTGTTTTTTAATACTACTGAGTGGATTGATCAAGATATATATGTAGGAGGCATATAAATATGGGGTAGTTTCACGGCATCCAACTTTCAGCTTATTCCATTAAAGTTATTAAACTGATTTTTTGTAACGAAAAAGTAACTCAATTGTGCTTATATATTATAAAATATAATATCGGGAAATGCAAAATTTAGCCCCGGAAAACACATGTAGGCTGCTGTATTTACAAAATAGCCATGTAAGTATAGCTATTTCAGCAACTCACCGTACATAATATTCACATGAACTCATTTTCTAACGCAACCTAATACTCAATTCTTTTTATTTTTGTAATTGGTGTCACATGGATATTATGTAAGGTGAGCTGCTAAAGTGGCCAACCTACTTGTGTTTCCTAGATCGAATTTAGCATTTTCGGCTTTTGTTTTATAATTTCTTTTGTGATATATATAGACACAATTGAGTTACTTTTTCATTTGAAAAATGAGTCTATAACTTTAGTGCAATAAAATGAAAGTTGGATGACTATCATGAAATTTAACCCATACAAGTATCTATCGAAGTGGGAAATCTAAGAGAAGTAATACGCGTATCTAGCTTAGTTTATCTACTTACTATTCTTTGTATATCAAATCATCAAAAAGCTTTTTATTCTCTTCCAGATGTGGTGATGAAGAGACAAGAATCAATCTATTTTGCATCTTTCGGCATGATAGAATCATCTTTTATCTTATGAAAGGTATGATCCGTTATCACGATTGAGTTTTATATTCTTTCAGAACCTTGAGATTTGCTTTTTCCCGGTGTACTTTGCCCTTCTGAATGCATTGTATGCCCTTTCTGGCAGATCTAGGATTTCTAGAATGAGTGCACCACTAAAAAGAGAGGAAAAAAAAGTATTAAGCAGGAATCAATCCTTATTCCTCTAGGTAAATAACTCAATATTCGACCAAGTGTATCATTCAGCCTTTTTGGAGCATGGAAGCCAGCAGATAATATTATATCAACTCTAGGAAATATATACATAAAATGCCTAGTTTGACAAGAAGACCATGAGTTCACGTGCACCATACCCTTCCCGGAAGTCTACGTTTTCAGAATTTATATACCGCAACTGTGTCATATCATTTGTTTTAGGATATTGGAACAGTATAGGAAGAGAGTTTTTCCAAGTCTTTGAGAAGATAAATGCCAACTTGCTGGTTGCTTATAGAAGATGGAATATAGGCTAATTTTTCGTGGGATGGGCATTAATTCACTACTTTTGTAGTCAAAGAATCATCTTAGTGTTATCATGAAGAATTAATATTTTCAAGAATCCGAAATTTTGCTAGACAATTGTTAAATTTAGAGAACATAATCTTCTTTAATGATCTTGTTTCGTCTTTGGTTGTAGAAAATTAGTATTGGCAGCCACTAAGAAAATGAATCTGTGGTCTTCGTCTAATCCAAAGAAACAAGAACTCCGAGTTAATATAGACTAGTTTGATAAAGCGATAATACTAGACTGATTAATATGCACTGGTTTGAGCTTCATCTAGTCCTTCTAGATGTATCATACTCTCTTCATGTTATCTTGTGATATACAAGTAAAATTTTCCCCTTTTACCAAAATAAAAGTTTGTCTTGATATCCAAATGCTATAGTCGATAGATTTCTTTTCCCCTGTCTGCTCCGGTTTCTTTATTTTGGCCGTGCAGGAGGGGGTTAGCTGGATTATTTGGAACTTAAAACTGTATTTTATCAACTTATCAAAGTGCTTCTTGGCCAATGGCCTCCACCAGATTATACGGAGTAATATTTATGGATTACAAACAGAAGAGATTGAGGAGCTCGTGGATGGCAGAATGAGATAACATATTTTTGAATACTAGTTGCATGAACTTGTCAAATGAACTCTTCTACATAGTATGCTTGGTTGATCAATCATGTAACGTTGAGATTTCAATTTAGGTTTTCATCTTATGAATAAGCAGAACTCGAACTAGTGAATGAGAAATTCGTTAAATTGTCTGTGTGTAGTTGATCTCCTTTACGTGCTTCTAGAGCTATCCCATCTATCCGAATTTAAATGAAGTCCGAAGGGACGAAAATCTGCATCTCATTTTTAGTGAGTCGCAGTACATTTGGCATTTTTGTGAGTTTTCCTTGAAGAATCTTCAAACAAGTAATTGCACCATCTAAGGCCAAAAATGTTTTCGAAATAGATGAGACTCATCTGCAAGAGGAATGCCAATTGCATAAAAGATTCGTAAGCTAACCAAACTAGGAAGAGTGCAGGAGAATCTATTTTTATTGACTTTAAGAGGAAGAAGCTTGCTTCCTCATTTATGAGGAGAGGGCATAAAGATCGAATAACGGAGGACCTCAGTGCAGTTGCCTCTTTTGATTAATGCAGAAATGAAAAGTTTAGAACAATTTTTTGATCAGAAAAGTTCACTTTGTATTTGAACCGTGCATCAAGTGCACTATTTTTGGAAAGATACAGTTAAAGGAAATTTCCATTACATATACTGATAGGCAAAGAAGGGAGCCTTGAAGCAACGGTTAAGTTGTTTCTTTGTAACCTAAAGGTCACGGGTTCGAACCGTGGAATCATCCACTACCCCTTGCGGCAGGATAGACTTCCTACATTAAACCCCTTGGGATGCGATTCTTCCCCGGACTTTGCATAAACGCAGGATATACTGATAGGCAAAAGCTTAGAAACAGGAAATTTCATATACTGATAGGAAAAAGCTATGATATAAATTGGAAAGGGTGCCATCAAAACACGATTCTTTATTTGAAAACTGTCATTTATTATCTCAGAGCTCACAAGTAATATTTGGATATAGTCAGCATAGAAAAATGCCAAATAGAGTTTTGATACAAGATGTTGGATTGGCTTTTCTAAAAAATATAGGAAGGATAAATAAAATGGAAACAACATAAGAGAGAAGAATGAAACAAGCAGCAGCCTCCTTTTATCATGGAACTGAAAACATATAGGTTCACATTCATCTTTCTGCTGCAGAATTAGAGCTTGAACTTTGTATTAGTGTCAAATTTGTCAGAAGATGATAACACTGGTTCCTGCAAGGTTTAAATGTGACAATACAATATCATATCAGAGAAATAGATATAAGCAAAATATTCTGTAAACCTTACAAATAATTAATGCTTATTGATGCAGGATAACATTGAGATGGAGCATCTCGGACAAGGAGATGAGATACCTGGTCTATCTTGCGTTGGAATACCTTCAGCAGTGGACATCTAGCATTGTTGACCTTTTCGATGGCCGTGCGCATATAATCAAGTAACCCTTGGTATGATATATCTGGCTTTTCCCTGAGAGCTCTAATAAATGTGCAAGTCATAGCACCAGTCATAGTTTTTTCAGCAGAGAAAGCCTGCATACATGAAGGGAAAGGATATTTACATATATATCGACTGTCTAAGGATAACAATATGTAGAATCTGGGGCCATAATATTCATGTTATGGTAGTTGAGGATAGGATATATAGATCAATGATCAATCATATAAAAACCAATTAAAGGGGTGGAAACAAATATTACAGAGGTATCTGCGGCTAGTTGATTATCCTTGCAAGCACTGAAACTAATGGCCCTTCCACCACTCGTGCTCTTATTAGCGCCGGATCGGGGTCTGTTATCAGCCCATCCATTCCTGTTAAGAGTCAAATAACTGATATAGACAACAACAACAACAACAACCCAGTATAATCCCACTTAGTGGGGTTTGGGGAGGGTAGTGTGTACGCAGACCTTACCCCTATCCTGGGGTAGAGAGACTGTTTCCAAATAGACCTCCGGCATCCTTCCCTCCAAGAACTTCCCACCTTGTTCTTGGGGAGACTCGAACTCACAACCTCTTGGTTGGAAGTGGAGGTTGCTTACCATCAGAGCAACCCCTCTTGTCAAAACTGATATAGACAGTGCCTCTGAATAATGCTACTGATTATCAGAATAGTGCTAAAATATTAGTTCATCTGAGCTTTGTAATTGTTGGACAATGCATACCATTAATTACTCTCATTTTTATTGTTAAACTAGTGGAAGATTATAGTTTAAACTTTAAACTCATTCCCAAGAAAAAGGTTGTAAAACACATAATAAATCGTAGCTAAAAGTATGAGAAAAGATATGCTTATGTGACAAGACAATCACAGACACAGACATGGAATCTGGAGCCAGTGACTGGACAGACTATTTCCAGGTGAAAAAGATGTCATGATTAGATTTTTTTCAATATACAGTTTTGATAATTAGTTTACATTGTGAAGAGTAATTTTACTAACATATCACACAGTAACATTATTAGCGGATTAAAATGCATACAAAGGTGTCTTATATTCCTTGAGCTAAGGGTCTATCGGAAATAGCCTCTACCTTCACAAGATTGGGTAAGTTCTGCGTACACACTACCTTCCCTAATCCCACTAAGGTGTCTTATATTTTGAACTTATGGGCTAGAAGTTCAGGCAATACATATCTGTGTTTAACTTTTATATATTGATAGTGTAAAAGAATTTTTACATTATTAGGTCTCCTAAAAGATAGCTACAGTTAACTGCCATAATAAATACATTTAGTTACTTGAGAAATAAAGCAGCTAACTTTGGGAAGGTAAGAACATACTCTTTGTAGACCCAAGGTAAGTCGAGAACAGTTCCACTATGACAAGAGTCAATGATAGCATGAAGTGTGACACCAGAAATGAGAGGCTTAACAAGAATATCATTGATGGCATTATCGATGATCATGCCTTTAGTCCTAAAGTCAAGAGGACATATTGTTTCATCAAAACCATCTGTTTCATCGTCATTAAAATCAGGTTGTCGTAAGCCATGTCCTGAGAAGTAGAACACCAACGAGTCACCTGATTTAAGGTCTGCCATCAGCCACTTGAAAGCCTCTAATATGTTTCTCCTGGTTGGAGGTTTATACGCCTCTTCTTCTGCAAGTTATTTCCATTCAAAAGTAAGATATAAAAATGTTTCTTACTCATCATCGTAGGCAACCGGGTGCACTAAGTTCCCGCTATGCGTAGGGTGCCGGCAAGGACCGGACCACAAGGGTCTATCGTACGCAGCCTTACCCTGCACTTCTGCAAGAAGCTGTTTCCACGATTCGAATCTGTGACCTCCTGGTCACATGGCAACAACTTTACCAGTTATGCCAAGGCTGCCCTTCTTACTCATCATCGTATATTCATAGTAAATAGAGAAACTAGAATACCTGCTAGAATGAGAATAGATTCATCTGAAAAGTTAAATTTCTGGACCAGCAAGTCCCTCATGCTGTTTACATCATGCAATGTTCCTCTGAGCCTGAACTTCTCCTTCTTGTAAGTCACTCCACAAAGGAATGCGCGCTTCCCGCTCGGTGGTGGCTTTGTGAAAATGAGAGATAAACGAGGACTAACACTAGGAGAAGGGGATAGACTTTTAGTTCTTGATCTATTTCTCCTAAATTTATCCTGAAATCTTCTCACTCTAGAACTGATCCTACCGCGTTCTTGGACCTGCAGTGACCTATCACTATTGCCTAGATGAATCAAATTGCTACACTCACAACGAAGCCGTTGACTATGTGGTGGCTGTGTCAGTGGCAGACGACATTTTTGACATGCCATAGACATCATTTGTACAGTAAACTAGTTCTGCTCAGTAACTAAAGTTAGCAGACAGTAAGTAATTAGCACTAGGACAAAGTCGCTTCAATTCGACTAATTCTTGAAAGTATGTGAATTGATCAATCTAATTATTATATATAAGCAGGAAAATATTCATATGTTTTTTTATCAAAATGTGAACATGAGCTGTTCCACTTCACCAAAAGAAAGACATTTCTAATTGTTTTTTGGTTGATTCACAGCTAAGATTGTCCCTTCATTTCCATATCGTTGATATTCAAATGGCAATGTGCTGGTTTAGAAGAAGATGCCGCTACAGAAGCAGAAGATGAAACTGGCTTTGCCTTTTCCATCGCTCTTTTTGGAAAGTGAAAATTCGTATATATAGTGGCTGAACACAATAGCATATTCGGAACCTTGTCTTGATCAGTAAACCCCCCAAAAAATCTGTGACTTGATTTTTCTTCTAGATCGATCAATTAATTGGATTGAAGTACAAAGGAATTGATTGAAGTTTGATGTCAAGTTACGCGCAAGCTAGTACCTTAGGATTATATTCCGCCCCGAGGATGTGTGCTTGTGGGCCGGGGTGAATATTGCAGGCTAGCGGACCTGGTGGTTGACAACTTGGTAAAGGTTGTCGCAGCCCCTGTCGTACAACTAGTTGCTGTAAAATTGGACGTCTATCTATCTTACTACGTTCCCTATTCCAAAAAGGGCGGGGGAATAAGTTCCATTCTATATTTGCTCCTGATAAAATGAAAAAGGAACTACTTTATTCCGTTACATATAGTATATGATAAAATATCAAATTCGCTCTCTTTTGGGATTCTAAATATGCTTATAAATAAATAAATAAACTGTTGTACAAATCCACCCAACGGATTTTATTCAGTATATATATCAAGTTTGGAGGGAATGGTTAGCAATATAACGTGTAGAATGAAGGAATCGTCCACAAAAGCGACTTTATTCTTGCTTATATAAAAGTACATAAAAAGTACAAGCGTTGCATGCTGGTTATAACTTAATGACCAACAAGAGCAAATGAGCTATAAGAACCAAAATCTAGTTTTGTAAACGCTTCGATATGTTGTTCCAAACAAATAACGAAAACCAGTTCTCACAGGCCACAACGTATCAAATAATAATTCCGCAAAATTAAATTTCACATAATTAACAACCAAAAATAACCAATCTAAAAGTCTCGTGTAATGAGAAGAGCGCGGATCTTTCTATAGCCACCACCAGGCCACGTTTTAATGTTCCTTTTCCCATTTTGAAATGAAGGATAAGGAACAAGATGCTTATCTTCACTAAATAGAAAGCATGAATCTAAACCATCGGTCATGGATAACCCACAACAAAAGGCTATATTTAATGGCATTGACTGACTCATTACTTAACCAGAAAGCATGTTACAGCAACAGTATTCAAGCTGGCAGAATAGGTGCTTCAGACATGATTAACAAAGGAAGGGGCAAAAACCGTCACGTCTTATGCTTCCTTGAGGAGAAAATATGCAATTTGCATCTGATATACATCCTTGTTATTGAACCCAAGGGCGAAGCTACACTTTAGGACCATCCTTTGTCGCAATTTTTTTGTATTTCACTGCGTATATAGGTAAAATATCAGGTTTTAGAGGTACAAAACATATATGGAACACCCTTTGTATTAATATGAATCTTAAAAGCTTGGCAGAGGCTCGCAACACAAGATTAACAGGTAAACAGACTCAGAAAACAAGTAGAAAGTAGAAGGGGTATAACCCTCTCAGATACAACTAGATTCTAAAGGGGCTCATAGAGCTAATCCGTAAACAGATACATACATACGTACATCTACATAATCAGAACAGACACTATTCACTTCATGCATAGAGACACATCTATTGCCTTCTGTAATTTACATACCGGAATGAGGAATATTACAAACTACAGTATTCCATAGCTGAATTTACAGCAAACCGAGGATACCAGCGAAAACTCCATCTCCAAGAAAGAGCACATGCATGCTTTGTAACAACCATCTCTTTAGACGGAAAGGAGACCTGCAACTTCTGCAATTTAAGATGATAAATGCTGATAAGCTCGCCAAAGAATAAACTATAATGGAGTGGTAGTTTAGCAAGAATCACTAGCCAATTTTTCATAGTTGAGACATGACGAAGGAAAGAAGTGGCAAAAAGATTTTGTTTGTTACTCATTATAGCAGCTATAACTTCAGCAAGTCAAGGAATTACCACATGTATCAGGACATTGAGCAACAGCAGCACGAGACAGCCCAGTGGAAAATTAGAAATTGTGAGGACTCATGGAAAGACCACCCTCCAGATGTCCGGATATTTTAGCCTTGCAGTCTGGACACATAAATCCAATTGAATCCGAATGAGCTTCTGTATCATAAGCTTCAAGCTGGAACTCTGCTCTGCACCACACACATACTGTTGAGAGCTGATCTGGTTCTTCCATGTTTAAGATGATTCCTCCAGAATCAAATTCAACTGATGCAAAAACCTCTTCCATCCTTGCATCATTACCCAACCCAATAGAAACAGATGGTAAAGATGAAGATGCATGACCAATATCAAAGCTATATTTGAAGTGTTCTATCTCATCCAGCCTAAGCTCGTCAAACCCTGTTTCACTATCCAGATTCTGACCAATAGCAGAAAATTCACCATTGTCCTACAGAGGTTGTAGCAAATAGATTACGAACTTGTGAAATTAGGGAATTATTTGAACAAGAGTTAATAGGAGATAGTATCTATCAAACAGAATGATTGTGAAATAACCTATATTCCAAAACCTCAACGCATAAAATCCAACACGCAAAAATCTGCACATTTGTCACATAATAATAGCAATAGTTCTCAAAGAATTAAAGCCTTTCCAAAAGTCAGGATAGATGGAGCTAAGAAAAACAGGTTAGATTAATGTAAGCGAAACAAGAGGATAGAAACAGGTTCACCACTCAAGTAGATGCTACAATGAGTGGGATAAAAAGTTATAGCATCTTTAAGATTCCTAATGATTATAAACTGACGGATAAAAACGTTCATCCTGGGTGCATCAGGTAGGTTGGGCTATCGATAAGCTGTAGAAACAATCTCCTACATTGATCAGTATCAACATAGAAATGCCCAGGGGTTCCCTGCTTGATGCTGGACTGTAGGCAGATTGAAGTGCTTATCAAACCAGGTATGTATTTAGAGCCTTGATAAACCCTGAGAGTAGAGGGGTCTCTTAACATTAAAATCTTTTCTGAATGCAGTAGTTGTCTGCCTGCAAATACATATTTTGGGCACTCTTATCTAAGTCTATATATTCAGTTTCCAGACAGATTGGCCAAATTGACCTGAAATAGTCATCATAATCAATTCATAGTCTTCTTTGTTCTCACCTATGTTGGAGATGAACAAAAGAGGCCCTAATACAAAAACTCCAAGGCAAGATAAACCATTTTAAATTTGGAACAGTCCACAATCATCAAGAATCAACAAAGTTGATCATTTGTCAGAAACCCAGAAAAAGGAGGAAAATTTTGTAGAGGGTTGCTTGATACATTTTTTAGAAGACAAAGACAAAGACAAACTCGTCCTCATCATCAATGAGATAAATGTATGACCTGTATAGATGCAGAAAATGCATCTTTACCTTACTTGATCCTGAAAGAATGCCAGTAAAGTTGTGGAATGATTGCGCCATAGGCTCTGAAAAGCTAGCTAACCCATCTTGACTAGCATTTTGCTGAAGAGTGAATTCCATAGTCTCGGATTCAACTTCATTATTTGCTTTAGTCAGGTTGTTTCCAAGACCAATTGCTAGCTTATTCTCATCCTTCTTCATGTCATCACTCTCAGAGTGCTCAGAATCACTACGAAATAGTTGCGCCATAGACACTGAGGAGCTTGTTGTCCTATTCAGAGTAGCATTTTCCTGAAAAGTCAGTTCCATAGTTTCTGATTCAACATCATTTGCTTTAGTCAGGCTGTTTCCATTACCCGCTGCTACCTTATCAGTGCCATCCTTCTTTATGCCAGCATCCTCAGAGTGCTCTGAATCATTATGCAATGACTGCACCATAGACACTGAAGAGCTGGTTAACGCATTCTGACTAGCAATTTCCTGAAAAGTTAGTTCCATGGTCCCTGATAGAAGATCATCATTTTCTTCCATCTGCTTTTTTCCCAGGCCCACCATTGGCTTGTCACTTCCAGCCTCCTTTGCTTCATCACTCTCAGGCTGCTCAGAATCATTGGTTGAAATCACTCTCGGATAGAAGTTGTTGGCCAAAATCTCACCACTCTTATCTTTATCTACTTCCATGCAGGTTTTATCAGGCTGATTTCTGCCTTGTTCATGACATGTTTCAGCTTTAAAATCCCTGGCATCTGACAATCCAGTATCAGCGGTTGGCCTCACAACTTGGTCAATGTTGGTAGGCATACTTCCATCGAAGTTCATTGTCGTACTAGATGGCATGCTGCTGACCTTCATCGCAGCTCTAGCACTAGAAGTTTCTACAACTGAATTTTGGGCAATTTCAATTAAAGAATCCATTTTACATGTCCCTAAAAGCAACCCATCTTGATGTGGAGACTGAACACGCTTGTCTGCTGCAACAGCAGCAGATACATCCACGGTACCTCTTGCATTGTTTCTCACATGGACTCCAACATGACCATTGTAACTACGCCTTTCTTCAAATACCTTATGGCAGAACTGGCATTCATATTTTCCATCTCTAATTATGACTCCATCACCTACAGATGGCCCAACCCTATACCTTCTTGTAGTCCGCTGGTGAAATGAGAACAGATGCTGCAAATATGCATTCTTTTCTTCAAATGTCAAGTTGCATTTATAACATTCAAAAATGTCTTGAACTTTAACCTCAGGGAGATTATCCATATCCATCAAGGAAATTTCATTGCCACGTAGGTCTAGAGTAGATGAACTGGGTACAACTGAATGTGCAACTATGCCATGCTTCGCCAAATCACCTTCTTGAAGAGAATGTGAATTTTCTTGAATGTCTGTTGACAACACCAAACTGGTGTTACTACGGAAGTTACTTACACTTTTAGAAACAGTGTCATCAGCCTGCTGAGTAAGCTGGTTTGCTTCACCAGACGAAAAATGGGACCGCAAGTATGATGAAGCCTCTTTGCATGATATAAACTGCTGGCTAGTAGGACTAGAAAAGAAAATGCCAAGTAAGAAAAAATTATTGGAGTTAGCACACAAAACAAGAGAGAGGCAGTAAATATCGTCAAAATTTAGGACATAACACTGTTTCAAATCGATCAAGCACAGCCTATCAAGTGAATTATCGTCATGAATAAAAGGTGCTGTTAAGTCATTTAACAAATTAGTAAATTCGAATATACATAACGAGCAGTGGTTCCAGCCCCGTGTCCTAATCGTCTGAGCTAAAAAAACCCGACTCCAACTGGATCTATTCATAAGGAGTACCCTCAGCAAAAGAATCCAAGAGACTTACCCAAAGAAAGCAAAAGG